TAAAATGTTTTTTGAGACAAGTATTTCAAGAGATAAATTATAATTAAGATTAAGATCAAAATCTATATTTAAAAGGAAATTAGAGATGTTATAAAAATTACAGTATTTAAATTATAAACAAGTAGAGACTAATTGTTCACTAGCTTAAGCATTATTAAATTTTATAAAAAAATCTAATGATGGGTGATCAATATCAATTTATGATACAAGGGAAATTGGTAAAATTTAATAAATAAATATTAATAAGTTCAGCATCATCACTGATTATTACACAATCTAGAGTTGGACGATTATTATGTATAATGTTTGCTTATTTTAAATTTAAGTAACTGTTATAATAATTAAAAATTAAAGAACCTGAGATATGAATGATATGAACTTTAGAACTTTGATAAATAATGAATATCTTCTCCATGACTCCATAGCAAGTTGGATAAATTACTCTATTAATGAGAAATATAGCTAATATTAAATAAATTTGATGTCCTGTGATAATATGATGTTTATTCCTAATTGAATAAACTTATTTTTTATATTTTAAATATTGTTCATTGTTTTTTGCTAAACATATGAAAAAGTCCCAAGTCATTTAAACAAATATAACTTATTATAATTCAGTCTAAACAATAGAATAATATACAAATATTCTTCTAAATTATCAGAAATATTTAATCTTTGTATTGTATAATCAATGAAATTATAACACTTTTTTACACTTATACTAAATGAAAAGTTAGCTTTTTAAAACAATAAAACATATGTTGTAAAATAGTTTAATAAGTTTTTATTTTTTCTACACTACATTATTTATTTATTTTATTCGTCTGGGATAATAGGTTTATAGTATTCCTTAACATTTTCTGGTAATGACTTAATTTCAAATGCACCAATTTCATTCAATAATTGATTTTTAGAATAGAAATATTGCCTGAACCAATTAATATGATCTTTTTTTTCTTCAACAGACAAGAATGGATTTTTTGACAAACCAACACATACTAATTCCATGAAATGTCTAATAGGTCCTTTTTTCGGACACCATTCATCAATTAATGGTTCTAAAAACACATGTTCAGCAAAAAATACATTACTTTCATCATCCATACCTTGTTCGTTATTTATAGGAAATTTCCATAATTTTCCTTGTTGCGTCCAAATAATCATTTGTTCATAAATATTTTTTGGTGGATGTATTACTGCTGTTTGTAAACTCTTTTCATGTAATCTATCCCAAGTAGGTAATATTGGAATATCTTTATTTATGTCAATATCTTTAAATATACCAAGTGGTTCACTGCTAAATAAACTAATTGGCACATAATTATCCATTGGCTTTTTATATCTTTTAGTTCTTTGATGGTCACTTGAACTAAGGCCTATCAATTCTCTAACTCTTTGAGCTTTATCAACATCACTAAACTTAAGGGATACATCTTTTGGTTGGGATCGATCAATTTTCATTCCAGAAAGTAGATCATCTAACTGAACAGAAGATTTCATCTTTTTATCAGAAGAATCATTAGGTTCATTGTTATAAATCTTTAGCAAATTTAATAGGTCTGATTTAGTTTTATTTGTATCACCTCCAATTGATTGAGCAACTTTGGTGGCTGCATCAGATAATTTTTCACCCAATGACTTGTTCTGTTTAGATTCATCAATTTCTTGTTTATTTTGTTCTGCTTTTCTCGCCAATTGTCTAGGTTTCGCCAACTCAATAGGTTTAGATTGTTGAGGTAGCTTATTGGTATCATTTCCTTTTTTCATGGTTTTCAGTAGATTATTTAGTTTTTCGACGGCTAATTGGTTCTTTTTTGAATTATTATCATCGTCTGATTTGAAACGCCGAGTTAAACAAAAAACACCACGAATTGTATTAAATTTTGACCCATTAATATATGGTGTGCATTTGATAGACAGAGTAGGATTCATATTGATATATTGTACTATTTGAAATTCTATAACTGAAAATTCCCTGAAAAATTAATATAAAATTTTTAAATTACACAAAGAAAAATACAAATAAAAACAATTATTTAGAATAAGACATAAAACAAAAATAATCTTTCATTTTACTTGTGTTTCCGAGAAGTTCCAATTTTGAAAATTAAAATATTAACTTACTTTAAGTGCTAGTATTAAATAATAGCAAATTATTAAAATTATATATTTTAAATTTACAAATTTTGTAAATTATAATATTGATTATAATATCAATAGTTAATGATAATAATAAAAATTACCGTAGTAATAATAATGCCTGGAAGAGATAAAATAAAACTATATGAATATGACTTAAATTTTAAAAAATAATGGAGGAAAACACGAGACTAAACTGTTAAGTCAGTTAAGACTGTTATACTTCAGTGTACACCGTCTAACATGTATGCCGTATGTAGTATGGACAATGATTGTAAAGAGCAAAGACTAAAGAGATATAAAGATTAAAAACTTTAAACTATGATTTAATATAATATTTAACATTTATATATATTACAGGTATCTACTATTTACCATAGATAACATAATAGTATTCGTGTTTCCAACTCTTTGATAACAGTACAAGTAATAATCAAGATAAATAATAAATGATTAAAGTAAATTGAATCGTGAATTCGTGATTATTCATTATTCTTAAATTTTCATTTCTCAATAATGTTATCATATATCTGGATTTTGATGATCATAATACATAGTTCATGTCGTATTGTTGACTGTCGTTTATGAACTAAAATAATGAATATTGTCTTGAATTAAATGTGCACCGAAAAGTAACTGAATAATAAATTATTATAGTTCATAATTTAAATATTAGTTTTTACACAGAAGATAGAACTGTATTTTGTCTTCTTTCTTTGTTTTGGTAAATTCATTAAAACAAAAAGATTTACTAGTACCAACAGTAATTACAACATTTTGTAATTGAATTTCATTCAATTGACTAATTGTAACTCGTCAATCATTAATATATTACTATATTTTATGATGAATATTAATGGAAGCCTACAATTAAAAGAATTGTTTTCAATACGAGAAAATGTTTTGAGACTTTGAAACTTTTGACGACACCATTTATCCAACTTAAATCTCTAATTGTTTAGTCATGGTTCAACCTAGTCTTGGATACTGTAAAAATAATAAACTGTCAACTTTCAAACCCAACATGGAATTGCATAAAGTCAAGTTTATAACAGCCTTCAATACATATAGCAGAGAACAAATGAAATAACTTGGACAAGGTTTTAAGTTCTGTACGTATTTGATAAAACTAATGTCTTGTATGAAAGAATTTGGGGTAAGGTTTGTCATATAATAGCCACTATAGAATAGAAAATGTAATTTTTCTTGTGACCACTCTGGAGTAGAAAATATGCATGAAAAAATTTGAGCAAAGTTTGTTGTCTGATCAGTGTATTTCAGAAAGGAATTGTGTAATTTGCATATGATTAGACAGAATAATTGTAAATAAAAAACAAATTATGCACCAAATGAATGCATTCTTAGATAAAAAGCATAATCAAGATACTTATAATAATTTTCTATTTTATAAGGAAAAAATGTTAATATACTTCTTTACTTGCAATTCTCTTAAATAGTTACTCTTACTTCAATAGTGCTTTTGTACCACAAATATTAACTAAAATAGACATATTTCATTTACTTTTTATTTATTCTTGACATTAAAACAAAATTTAATATTAACGTAAATATTTATGACTATAGTTCATTATTTACATTGATGGAATTTTTTACAAATTATGTTTTGATTTTTGTTCAGAACAAGCTTCCAAAACATAAATTAACAATATACAGCCCATGTTGAGGTGGATTATATATCTTATTAAATTATTAGGTATTTAAAAAATAAATTTAACTCAAAAAATTAGTGTTCATTATTTATTTTTAATCAAATAAAATAACATCAATTGTTACACACTAATCTCCTAACATTGAAAATGATTAAATGAACATAGGTATTCTTTAACAGTTCAGTAACTTTGTTTAACTAATAAATTATAATGCATAATAAACATACAATGTAACATAAACTTAAACATATTAAAATGATTGTTACTAAATATTAACAATAATAATAAATTACAAGTTATTAATATTTTCATAGTATTTATGCTAGTATTCTTGTTGGCATTGAAAAGAAAAATATTTTAATGATTACAGTTTTAAACTTAATGAAAAAACACAAATAAAACTTAAAGACACAAGTTAACTATTCAAATATTTTTTTTTTTTTTTTATCTATAATATGGACATAATTTATATATTAACAAAGTGACAGTTTTATATATATATATATAATATATAAAAATATGTTACTAAAATGTAAAACAAATTATATTATTATTCAACATAAATAATGAAATAAAATTAAAAATCTTTATAAAAAAATAATACCAAGAACTTATACATTAAAAATCATTTTGGCCAGTTTATTATTAAACATTATCAAAATTATAAAAACTAAAACTAATATATTATAATAAAACAATTTTAATTATATTATTTATATAATACATTAATATAACATATACATTGCATTTTAATTAATAGGTATAAAAACATAATGTATCTAACGTTGTTAAACAATATTAGATGTTATATTAATTTATTATGAAAAGATTTAAAAATGAATAATATTGCGTAATTCATGAAATATTCAAATTTAAGATCTATATGTTATATTTTTCATTTTTTGTAATAAAAAGACTTTAATAATAAAGTTTTAATTATATAACTTTAAACAATATTTTTTACAGGCCGAAATGAATTTTAGAAGTATAATGACAATATGACAACTTTAATTTATATGCACAATGCGTAAAAATAATAAAACTTAAATCATAATAAAGAATGCTGTATCACAGCTTGTGACGAAGAAATATTTATCATACCACAAATAACTTATGTTATTTATAACTAACTAGCATAACAATAGAAAAATCACATAGTTTTATAAAACGTATACACTAAAAAATTCACAGACTTTATATAAAATAATTTGAGACCCTTTTTACAAAAAAAAAAAAAAAACTATAATTATCATCACAGAGTTCAAGTTACTATCTAAACATAGAAAAAACAGAGTAAAGTAAGTTACAACATTGTACTTTCAAAATGAATAATAACGCTTCGATTTTTGTCCTACTAAACGTCTCTTATGCCATGTGCTTAAAGCTATTGGAATTCGTTTAATAGTGGTAGTTCTTTTAATTGGTGAACATTGAGTAGACCGGGTTTTTGTACAGCTGGCTAAGTATTCCCTTTTAAATTGTAAAGTAGAGAGCTCTGCCAACTCTGACATTTTTAATGTAACAGTCTTGTAAACATCAATAGCGTTTGGTCGATTAAGAGGATTTGGGTCAATCATATTTGCTATAAGTAAACTCAATCCAAAATCTTCTATATCTGGTACAAATCCATCTCTTAAAAAATGCCATTCTGGTCCATCACTTGGCAATCTTAAAGCAGAAACTGCTTCATATGCAGTCATTCCTAATGAAAATATATCAACTTTTAATATTGTTGAACTATCATATTTTCCACTTAACATTTCTTTAGGTAAATATCGGCCATCGCCATCTTCCACATCACTTAAATTGTCTGTATGTGCCACATGACCAAGATCACCGATTTTGTAAATGATATCTCTATCAACTTTATCTTCATCTTTTTCGAGGAACTTAGAATGACTGATCATGATATTTGCAGGTTTTATGTCCAAGTGAACCATTTTTGATGTATGCATGTAATGGAGACCACTTGCTAAATGAGATAATAGGCGCTCAATGGCAGCATCATTGAAATTGTGGTGTTTAGTAAATATCATTTCATCTAGATTTCCACCATCGCAATATTCTAGTTGTATAAAAACAGAATTACTCTCATTCCATGCAGAATGATAAGCAACTATATTCGGATGACTAAATAAAGCAGCATTTGCGTATACTTCTTTACGAGCATAATTCTCTCGTCTAGTTCCTACTACCTTCTTAAGTGTTTTTTTAATAGCATATGGCATTCCTTCTAACATATTAATACACTTATAAACCTCACCAAAATCTCCTTTTCCAATAAGATCTTCTACTTTAAATTCTTTAAAATATCTAGATACTTTAAGATCAGTTAGCTCAACATTTGTTAAATCTTTAGACCAGTTGTCAAGTGTTGATGATTCATTATTATTATTGTTGTTATTATTATTTGTCCATTTGAGCCGTAGGTCAGTTGCTGCAGGAGAGAATGGGTTAATGCTAAATTGTTTAGGTTTAGATATTGTTACTTCATTGATTAATTGGTTTGAATTCTTATTTTCAAAAGATTTAGATTTAACAGAAGATTGGGATCGATTTAATATACCTTCTTCCAACTTAAGGACACGAATCCTCTTTATAGGAGGTGAATAGGATAATTCATCTTTTTGAGGTGAATCAGCTTTTGATGGTGAAGCTAAATGATCAGCAAACCTTAATGGAATTGCAGATCGATGTTTTCGACAGGCAGGTGTCATGGGTGGAATATGTTGAACATGGTTAGGTGGCGTTTTAGGAGACTCTTGAATTGTGGCAGTAATAAGGCAAGGTGAAGACTCATCAGACTCGTTAAAATTTAAACGTCTAGGTAATAATGTAACTGGACTGAAAAACCGTTGAATGTCCACTCCGTCCATGTTTGGTCAAATAAATTTTTATTTTTCTCAGATATAATTTGTCAACATACAAATTGAACATTGTTAAACGCCGTCTTCAATTACACAAGACCTAAAAAATAAATATTGAATTATAAAATTAAATTAATAAAAAAATACTATATTTATTTTACAATAAATAATATTCAAATAAATGACAATTGTCAAATTAAAATATAAAGGATATAGATTTATATCTAGTTTAGCACCTCCTTGAAATTTCGATTTTTTTTTTGAAACCTATGCATTTTAATGTTTTAAAAATTATGGTGCCAAAAGTTTTTTCGGGAAATCATTAGTTTTAAAGTTATAGCCTAATAAGTTCATGATTTATGGTGTCTTACACATGCCCAAAATGCATAGTGGTGATATAATATTATAAAATACAAGTTAAATAATAATATAATACGTGTCGTACCTACACATATCTATAACACAACAATAGTATAAACAAATTTGTAACCATAGTATTTTTTTTTATTTTTAGTAATTAAATATTTAATGCAATATTACATTTAACAATTAGCATGATTCACTATCAGAATTTGATTCATCTGACGCCAGATCATCTAAAATATATTCTTGTTTAATTGCGACTAACGGATTATACAGCTTTCCTATATAAATAAAAAATTCTTTTAAGGGATCTAATTTTAGAATTTTGCAGCGTTTCAAAAACATGAATTTAGCTAAATATTCTTCGTAAAATCATTTCTGTTAACCATTGTTAACAAAATTATGGGCGTCGATTTTTAGCCCTGTGACCTACCTTAGGTGGTGTTGCGTAACAAATCGAGGGATATTTTCGTTTTGAATGTCTGAGCGAGCACAGCGATCGAGTGGCAATGCTGGCCCCTAATTTCCTTTGAAAACGTATTTGAAGATAAGCATATATATATTTTTTGGATTACTCAAAAGCTAATGATTTCCGGAAAAAACTTTTGGCAACATAATTTTTAAAACGTTAAAATATATAGGTTTCCAAAAAAAAAAAAAATCAAAATCTCGAGGGGGTGCTAAACTAATTTGTTCCATAAAAAGTATTATCAATTATAAAGATTAAGTAGTTTTGTTAACTATTTTTCAAATAGGTAAATACACGAAAAAATAGGTTTTGAAACTGTAGGTATTAAAATGTAACAATCTATTTTGGTGAAAAGTTTATAGTACTAAAAATAAATAACTTACTATTAAAATAAATAAGATTTAATTATTAGTGGAATTCCCCATGATTTTCAAATGCAAATTAAATATAACAATGAAATTAAATACAGATTGAAAATGCTAATTTAAAAATTCCTAGATTTATAAGAAATTGAGATCCGTCAAAACATAATTCGGTTATTCTTTAATTTAATATAATACTTAAAATTCATGAGATAAAATGTATTATTATTTTTTGAAGGTTAAATAACATATTAAATGAACTGTAGAAAATTAAATAGCATATTTAAAATTGTGAAAATATACCTAAGTAAGTTGCAACATAAACAATTTTTATTTAGTTATTAGAACTATTAAACAACATTATCCATAATACGATAATCAGAAATCCAAGTAACCCGGTGATAAGCATAAAATCTTGATTAAAAAAAGTCGTAAACTATCGTAGTCAGAGGAATATTTAATATACTGCAAAAATATAAAAGTTAAATCATGATTTACGTACTTACATGATTCTGATGACATTCTCAATCGTCGGTATTATGGCCCGACAAATGTGAAAAACAAATGAGTTTAAAAAAAAAAAACTTTCGCCACGGATAAAAAAACACTGTTTTGAAAGTGAATATTTACTGACAACGGCGGTATTAACGGGCAGATCAGGAAAGTGAGAATGACACAATAACAATGAAAAACGAAAGAACAGTAGAGAAGGTAAAATTAAAAAAGCCCGTCAAGCGGGATTTAAACGCGATTACGCGTACGTAAAAAAAATATACGAGCGAAAACTCGAAACTGGCGATAAAAAATTGACTGGCGGGATAGGGCGAGCGCGTGAGTCATCGGGCGGTCGAGTCGTCGAGATAATTGTAAATGTTTGAATAATATCAAGAAGAGCCGAAAAATGTGCAGTATGTAGGGCTCCGAACCACCGGATTGGTCGATGAGGGTCAGGTGACGGTGGACTGGTAATACTGTAGTACACAGTGCGACCAACATAAATGTAGGGGCATTTGTTGTCAGGTAAAGGTAAAGCGCGGGAAAACATCGGCGGCGGTGATGACGGCAGCTGTTGCTTGTCGTCTGGAGGGCTGCTGCTGCATTATGCACCGCGCTCTAACCATGTTCATGTATGATTGTGGTGTTATTTGTTATTGTTATCGTTATCGTCGTGCAAAGGGGGAAATAATAATAAGTAATGGTTAGACGGTAGCTGTAGCAGCTGCCGTACTCGCACTGCATCAGCTGCATTCTGATTTCTGGTTAATGCCTATTAGACGTAGGTACGACCTAATACTACTCCAATACAACATGACGTCGGAAAACCTGCCAAATGTTGTTGTTGTTGTTTTCGAGTCTCACGTGCGTTTGTTTATCATTGCGCCCATGTTAATTTTAGATTTGCGTGCATCACTTTATGTCTATCGATTATCTACTATCTAGAAACTTATTACTTATTAAACGGACATGGACAGATGATTAAATAACATATAAATTATAAGTAGATTCAAATCTTGGATTTTATTTAATGAATTATTTCACTCTTTTTGCTTTTATGCGGTATTATTTTTACATTAATTTTAAAATATTATTAAACATTGATTAATATTTTTCTATGAAAAATTTTAAAATCATTATTATGAACCAGTTTTTTAAATTTTCAATATTATTACAAGTATAAACGCCTGGTCATTCGAAAAATTGCTCCATTGACATTATAATATTTTCATTCTTATTAATTAGATTATGAGATACCTACTACACTTCATCACTGTTATAGTCCTTCGTGCCAAAATTACATCTTGTAATTGATGAATGTAAAATGAGAGAATTGATGTCTATATAGATATACATATATATATACAAAAATAAAAAATTTAGCGTTTACACAATTCAATTTTAATAAGGTTGAAGATCAATGCTACATAGTATAAAATATTATTCCCGCACGGTTCATGGTTGCAACAACTATTGCATTTAAATGATTAATAGGCTACATTCAGACTTCCTGTATTGTTCAATTTCAACAAAAAGGTATTTTACTGTATAATAAAACATTTTTTTATTAATACTCAAACTCTGGACAACAGAAAAATATGTATATAAAGTATTCAATAAATAATAACACAATTTTACTTAGTAATAAAAAACATGATATTTATAAATTATAGTGAAATATATCCAATTTATTTGGGTCATTATAAAATACAAGATAATAAGTAGAAAACAAAAAAAAAACCCTATAAGTATAGGTAATGTTATGGTTTCTAATAAGTAATAACTGACATTTACTGTTTGCTTTCATTTGTATTTCAATAGTTCTAAGTAATTACTTATTAATCTCTGATCTACATAATAATATTAAAAAAATAACTATTAACAGGAGACAGCTAGTTACGACGGGCAAGTATAAATATATTTTTTATACTAATTAATAATTATACCAAAAATTATTGACATTGAAATAAATAATTAAATAGGTAATACAATTTTGATCACATTTGTAATATATTGTAATTCAATCTTTAATTAGTATTTATTTTTTAGAAGAGATTTTTGCAAGTAATACATTTTTTATCATTCATAGATTTCAGGTAAATCAAGCGATAATAGATAAGTGCGGCTAAGAGGACGCCACACCTGCAAGTGTGTCTTTGTCTTTTAAACGTACGATATAATCAATTAATTTGCGTTTAATAGAGTCAATTTTATGTTATTAGTTTTAATATTAGAATTTATTGTGAATTGACCTATAATTGAATATTCCAACCTAAAGCCTAAAGGTAAAAATAGTATCTTTGATTTCTCTTTGGTAAGTAGTTAATTAACCACTTAAAGTTAACACATCAATCAAAATTTGTTCTCTATTAAACGTAAATTTGCTATATTGTACGTTTGTAAAATGGAAACAACATATTATGCTAAATGTGGCGTCCTCTTGAATATTGCAGTTTTGAGTCTATAAATTATTATTATATTTTGCTTGAAATTTTTTATTTTCGATTCTATTTGTATAATTGAATGGTAAATATTTATGAAATACAATCAACGTCCTCGGTAATTTTTTTTTGTGGTTAATGGTGATTTCTATTTTACGATTAATTATTTATTGTCAATTTAATATTATTTAAATATTTTAATTTGTCATTATTCCTGAAGATTTGATTAATTAGATTTTAAACAATGGAACAGTAAACTACTCAAATGGAAAAAAAATATTTATATTTTATTTATTATAATATATAATATATATATTTTTTTTGTATAATAAATATTAATTTGAATACATTTATATGTTTTAAAAATATTTCATTTTGTTTTTAGTTTTTAAACTTAATTATTATATTATGTTTTGTAGTATTGAAAAAATAAAATAAGAGAAGGGGATCCAGAGTAGCGCTTCATCATTAAATAAACTGTGTACAACAAACTACACAAATGCAATGTGTGTAAAATATAATTATATGATTTTAACTTGTCTTAATCATATATTTAAGATTTAAATTCAATGTCATGAAATGTCAATAATGTATGTTTTAGAGATTAAGTCAAAAATAAAATAAAATTTCGTCACCACTTCCGGATGAACGCAATTGTTTATGATACAATTAGCGTTAAATTTCGTGAATAAAACGTTGTTTAAGTGGTAGTTAATTAAAAAAATCCTGTCTTTATTCTATCGTTACTGAAACACTATAATTAATGACATAATAATTAATCAGTTTTGTAACTCGTATAGTAGTCGTCTATATTTAATAAATAAAATCATTTTAAATTTTGTTAAGTCATTTATGTACATTTTTAATCTCTAATTCTTTTAGTCAATAAATGTTTTATTTTAATTTTTATGGTAATAAATTATTTAATTAAGTTGGTACTAGGTATTTATGTAAATAAATATTGAATATTAAATATTAATCAATTAAAATTAGGATTTGATTTAGCTACTGTGGATAGCGGATATATTGCAGCATGTTGCATGTATAAAATAATCTTTCTTTTGTAAAACAAATTTCAGATTTTAGATAATAATGAATAATTTTTAATTGAAATCAGTTTTATGTTTTAGCGAAATATATAATATTACTATAGATCCATAATGAATTTTATCCTAAAAATATTTTGCTTTTAGGTACATACATTGCACGGTGACATACTCGCAATGAATAAATTACACTAGCGGAAGTTATTGTGTAAAGCTAAATAATATCATAAAGAATAATAGATATATTTTTGGTCATCTGTAGACTGTAATACAATTTTTTTAAAGAAAAACCATCTGTTATACGATGTTAAATTATAAAAGAAAAATATCAAAATAACTTTTTTAGTGTCTCTATGAAAGCGAACGACACGATCGAATTATTTTCATTATTTTTATCTGGTAGTATTTTCAGTTCGATCATAGTAAAAACTCCACACTAATGGCGTATTCATCCTGACAAGTCCTCCATAGCAGATGCGTATTTTTGTATTATTATTTTTACTGAGTCTTTTGTGCGCTTGTATATGTATGCATACAGGATGATTCACTAAGCATGCTCACATTTCATTTTTTTTCTTCAATAATGCTATTATTTAAAATCTGATTTTTAATATACCTAAAAAACATATTTTTTAACTGTTGAGATATTTTATAGAGCTTAAGGAGAGTTCTGTGGAGATACAAATTTCTATTTTCAATAAATATCCATCTTTTTTACTGTAAATTATTTATCAGATAATTTTTTGAAAAATTGTAATTGCTAAAATCAAAATTTGAACGATTAGTTTTTAAGTTATTTAACACTAAGGATAATAGGTCCATGGTAATATATTTGAAATATATGAAGGCTATACACCCACTTCGGTTATTTGAATATGTCGGTATTTAATATTAATTTATTAACATTTATAATTTATAAAAATAGTTCAAGAATAATAAAAACTTGGTACAATATTATATTTATTTTATATTTTTGGAGAAACTATTTTTAAGGACTGTTATCCTTAATAAGCTTAATATAAACATTTTAATTACTGAAAAATTACTTACAAAAATTTTTAATTAGGTGACATTTTGAAAAAAAAATATATTCTCTAAATAATTTACTGTAAAAAATGACGGTTCTTATTTAAGAAAAAAACAAACAGAAGTTTTCAATTCTATAGAAAACTTTTTAAGTATTAATCCAGTGATATGGCGAAGAAGGTAATTAAGAGGCAGATGCCTTTACATTTTTAAAAGGTGGTTGTAATTTATTAATAACGAGTAATAATTTAATATTGACTATTATAGTATTTTAGTAATTATCATTACGATAGGTAGTTAAAAATACGTCAGTAAATATCTCTATCATATCTCTAGGTAGATGGAGTATTATTGATCTGCCTCTGAACAACTTCAAGTTCATTACGCCACTGAGTTGTACAGTCATTTATTTAAAAAAATTGAAGATATGGTCTTTAAAAGTATTTAAAAATATAAAAAATAGAATTTGAATGAATTATTTATAGCTTGGTTAATCACCCTGTATATAATGTATAGGCACAATATTATTAACGGAAATTTGGAACTATTCGGATATATTTTAAACCTGGGAACGGTGATCAGTGTTCGAATTGTTTTCTGTATAATGTATAATATAATATTATTTATAAATAAATTTTATACTTGCGTTTCGTTTACTCGAAATTATGAAATATATAAAAGACGTTTTTCGCATGCAGTGTTTATTATGTATATATTTACCCTCAAGCATCTTATGAAATATTACTTTTTTTGAGGCGGAATTAAATGGCAGATGTACACACAGAACCGTTATAGGTACAAAATACCCACGCATACACGTAAGATCTCACCTGTTCGTCATCAT